AGAATCAAGAGATGCAGAATTCTTTGGGAATAAGTTTCTCAGAGATCATGGCTTGAGTGCTTCTGGATCTACAGATATGATTTTAGAATCTCTTATAGAATCTGAAGCAAGCCCTTCTAACACTAACCCCACACAACTGGCTATCGAATCAGTTCCGATTATAGTATCTAAGAGAAAGAGTTTCCAAAGACTTTGGTGGGGACTTTGACACTTACCATCTAGAGGATGATCCATTCTCCTATCTGGAAGCAATGAGATCTAGGGAATCTCTACTGTGGGCAGAAGCCATATATGATGAAATGAGTTCTCTAGTACAGAATTATACTTGACAGCTAGTCAATTTGCCAAAAAGGGCTAAGGTTATAGGTTGTAAGTTGGTACTGAAAAAGAAACTGAATAGTGATGGATCGATAGCCAGATACAAAGAACATTTAGTAGCTAAAGGCTATAGACAACAAAGTGAAATAGACTATTTTGATGTTGACTCACCTATGTGTCATCTATCGACTATAAGAATTCTTCTTGCTTTGACATCTATTGAACACCATGTAGTGCATCAAATGGATGTAAAGACAACTAGTGGATGACATGTTAATTCTTGGTTTCGATCATTCTGTAGTGAGTGACATGAAAGCTAATTTAGTTAAAGAATTTGACATGAAAGATCTTGGTATTGCTAATACCATTCTTGGTATGAAAGTAAGCTTTGAAAGGCAAGTAGTCTCCCTTAGCCAGACTCATTATATTGAGCAGCTACTTTTTGCCTGGGGATATAGTGAGTGCAAACTGAGTGAGACACCATGTGATTATAATAAAACACCGAGTCCTCATGAAAGGACCAAAATAGATTAGTTAAAGTATTTAAAACTGATTGGTAGTCTCATGCATGCTACAAGTTGCACTAGATCTGACATAACCTTTACAGTTGGCATGCTGAGTCATTTTACTAGTAATCCTTGTAAATAGCATTGGGATGCCTTCGATGAGCTGATGAGATATCTTAAAGGTACTAAATATTATGCTTTACACTGCTCTGGTTATCCTTCAATTGTGGATAAATATTCTGATGCGTCATGGTGTTTAAAAATCAGAAACAGTAAGTTCACCAGTGGATATGTATTCACTTTATGTGGAGCTACTATTGCTTAGAAATCCAAAAGATAAACTTGTATTGCATTGTCGTCTATGGAATCAGAACTTTTTGCTTTAGCCTTAGCCGACGAAGAGGCAAAGTGGATAAAGGATCTGATTATGGATATTCCTTTGACTTGGCTAAAGATTAATTTTTTAAGCCTATTTTGTGATAATTAAGCAGCTGTCCAAATTGTTAAAAAATGCTCTCTTTAATTGAAAGAGAATACATGTAAGACTGAGACATGCGTTGTTGAATTATCTGATAAAACAAGGAGTTATCACCTTGATCGATGTGAGATCGAAGGATAATTTGGACGATGCTCTCAACAAAGGTATACCTAAAGATCGATTATTCAAAATAGTGGAGAAAATAGGGGTTAAAGACTATGTAGACAAGTTTTAATTACCATTTACTTACCTTCTAATTGTTTGTTTTGAATCATCGAATCCTCCTTTTGGGTGCCAAAATGATAAGCACAATCTATATGTTTCATCGACGTTCATGGTTGCTGATTAATTTGAAAAGGGTAAGTTGTCTCATTCCAAACTTGATGAAGATAACTTGAACCTGATTCAAAGGTTCTAGATGGGAAACTTGTGTCATTCCAAACTTGATGATACAATCCAACCAAGTTGGACCATCCTTTTGGTTAAATGATCTCATTCCAAACTTGATGCAAGATTATTTGACTTTGAGGAATCAATAGTTGTGACATTCCAAATTGAAACATTGAAATAGTTGTTTGCATAAGAAGCCAGTGGGTCTTGTTCTTAATTGAAACTTGACATCACATGACTAGGTTATTGCAAGTAACTTGACTATTGGTCTTGTTCGTTGAAACTAGACAGTAGTTATTCTCTTACAAATAAACTTAAGTTGATGGCTCTTTGCAAAACAAACTGTTTAGGCCTTGTTTATAATTTATGAAACTGGCTTGATGCTTATGAACATGACATTACAATGCTTTATGACATTAATATATGTTCTTCTTTGCCTGATAATATGATGCTAAGTACTTTTAGTAGAACTATACATCTTTGATAGATTATTCAACCGATCGAATTAATAATAATATGAAATTCATATTTGATATTCTACAGAGGATGGCAGAGATGGATTAGAGCTTAATGAGAGGGATCTTGACTAAGGTCACCTCCTTGATGAATGAATATATCATTTAGAGTAAGTGGGGACTTGACATTTCACCGGCTATTGCCCATTTTGATGGAGTCCAATTATTTGAGACTTACATTTTGCTATCTTTATTTTATGAACATTGTTGATTGTGAACTGATTTTGAGACTTATTTTGAATGTTGGGATTTGGATGAGTTTAGATTGAATCTAAAACTCTAAATATTTATTTTGGTATGTTGGTCTCAGAACATATTCATGATAATGATGATTTATTTATTTAGATTGAAAATGACGATTGAGTTTAGCATTTCACCGTTAAAACTCTTTGATTGATCCGAGTTAATTGTCTTGTACTGGATATGAATGATTCATATATTTTTTTGGTGAAAAGAATGATTCATATTTGTTTGAACATTACATTGATCACTCTATTGAATCGTGCTATATGGTGAACATATAAGGAGATTGTTGGATATATTAATATATTAATAATATGTTCACATATAAGCCCAATATGTGAAAACATAGTTATTTGGGTCCATATGGGCTTGAGCCCAATAGCTTGCATTATGCTCTAAGGTTTCCTAAGCTGGAGGTAATACTGTTGAGCATTCCAAACTTAATATTATGTCTTGGTGTAATACTTCAAACCCTTCTCTCTCAAACTCATTACCTCTAACACATAAAATAAAATAAGGAGGGTGATTCATGTCATGTCTAGCTAAGTTTCGGAAAGTTGCGGAGCTAAGCCACACAGCCAAATTAATATTAAGAAACTCGAAAGTAACAGGTAATTAAAAGTAGATGCACTTTCCTTGTGATCCTAGCAAGTAGAAGAGGGCGAGGGGCAAGAGTGAGCACAATGACAAATGACAATCATGAAATTCCACTCGCTCCGAGAAACAAGCCAGAACAGAGAAAAAAATCCCCTGCAACTTTATAAGAGCATAAAACCAATTAACATGGGTGGGGCAAGGGGCCCAACACCATGATGACATTCATGCCAATCTCGGCGAACCCATTAATGAATAGAATGAAAGCACATTTGACTTTAGCCCAAAAAACTAAAGCACACTAGACCGCCTTACTTTCGGTGTTGGTTGAATATCTATTATTTTATATATACAATTCCAGAGCTCAATGGTATTATCACAGAGATTTGTTATGGAATAGACAAGTTTAGCAATTAATATCCGGGCAATATGGCAACTGGTAGTCCAATCTTTGTCTAATTCCATTGAGTTAACAATGTCTGTTTGTTCTGAATATTTTCTCCCCAGATTTTTGGAACAGGAGCAACTTAATCATGTCCCCTTCCCTTTTGGAGGACAGCCATTTTATGTCTTAAAATGGGGTCTACTAACGCCGGTTATCAAATTGACATTCACAGTCAATTTGTTTAATAATAACTTCAAATATAAAACTATAAATTTAATCATCACTTACTACTAATTAAAGCAACTGTTTGATATACCATGTTTGTTAAAAATAAATAAATAATTCCAAAGGGCGATAAGATTGATGTCCACGACTTACTTTGATAGCTAATAGCTCACAGCTCCAATATTAACTGCTTCCTTTTCAGCGAGACTGTATTATTTGTCTATCCATGGTAAGTAATAAAAGTAAAGCCAGTTTGAAATATGAGCTTAATTTGAATGAAGCCTACAACATTTTAACATGCAAATATTAGAATTTTTTTTTTGTAAGATTGGATTGACATTATTATTAATTATCCTTGAATTTCGACAAATTATGGTTAAATTCTATCAAAATTAAAAAATGTAGCATTACCTTTTTAACATCTTAACCATGGTAAGAGCAGGGTGCCCCGCAGCTTAGTCAATATTTTATTTTCCCATTTATTTACTTTTTTTCCTAATAACGCGGTGTAGTCGTTAAGAAACAACAATGCAGTGTCCTTTTATTTCAAAGGGAAGCATATGAAATGATTCCATAAAACAGTAACTTCCAAAGGAACCGAAACTCGAGCAACGAGACTAGGCCCACTAAGCAAATAGAGGAAAAGAAACCAGGCCGGAAGAAGAATAGGAGAGAATATATATATATGGAACCCACCCATAATTATAGGAAGCACTAGATTCACGTTAACGCCTCATGACTTTATGGCTGTAAATTTTAATTTTTGTTCATGCTTTATCCAACATCATGATTCATGAGAGTACCGTTAAACATATAAAAAAAATAAAATAGTTTCCTTCAATCTAAATAATGATCCTAAGCTAAGGAGGAAGGGATAGATAGCCACATTCTAAAACGCAAGAAAACAAGGTTGACGTTGGACTAACAGGAGAACACCCAAGTTACTAAATAAAAGTAAACTGACGAGTCCCAATCCATGTGGTTGTGTAACAGCGTTGGTGTCTCCCACAAGCTCAACTTAGCAAAGCACTAAACCTCCTAGAATGTGAGAAAATGTGGCACTTTTTTTCTGCAGATAGAAAAAGAAAACAAAAATTGCACCAGCTGTTTGTACATATATTTTAGTATACTGCCAGACAAGTTTGCAGTTGAACGGTGCAGCGCTTCATCAAGCAGTACCACACCCACTAACCTATACCCTACCATCCTGCCAAGTGCCAACCAAAACCAACCCACCGAATAATAGAATAAACGCAAATCAAGGAAATTGTATTGCCAATCCATTGTACTACCCGAACAAGAAAATTAAAACTGCACAACTTCACCGATACAAGTCTTTGTGATTGTTTAGATTTATACACTGCTAATTGTATTCAATAAATAGAAACTACAATAATAGAGCCACTCAGAATCTGGTAAGGGGGAAAAGTTGAAACTGTCAAATAGTTAGGGGGGAAAAAAGAAGAGAGAAAATATAAATATATTCCCCTTGATCGATAAAAGACAACGATCTGAACGACCCATAAGTGCAAAGAAAATAGGGGTAGCCCACACCTCACTTTTATCCCAAAATATAAAAGAAAAAAGAAAAAAGAAAAAACGGTACCTGGTACCGGCACTACTGTTGTCGCTGTGTTTTTTTTTTTTTTTTTGTTTTTTTTTTTCAGGTGAACCATCAAGATTCAACAATCAAGTTCAATCAAAGATACCTTGGATTTGGGATATTGAATTGAAAGGTTGTCAATAATCTGGCATAAGCTGACTGATTTTGCCTTCTTCAAGGGCCATCTTCCGGTCGGTGATTTTCAACCATATGCAGACCCCAGTGAAGCTGAGGACGAGACTTGCCAGGCCACTTCCCAAACCGATCCCAACAATGGCCAAAACCGACAACCCTTTACTCCTGAATGGCGGCAAAGGGTATCCATAAAGATCCTTATTCCCCTCGAACGAGCTGGCGTTGAATCTTGGCAAGTTACCGCTCCGGTTCGACAAGGAAGCCGGGATCGGACCGGAGAGGTGATTGTTGGAGACGTCGAAAGCCGAAAGCCGAACCAGAAGGCCCAATTGCTGAGGTATGGGGCCAGTGAGCAAATTGTCGTGGAGGTCGATGATGTTCAGATACGCACACAATGTGAGCTGTGGGGGAATCTCCCCTTCGAGGCGGTTGGAGGAGAGGTTCAAGACGGCCAGGTTCACCAGGGACTGTAGGTCCGGTGGGATGGGTCCGGTGAGGAAGTTGGAAGAGAGGTCAAGGGCTTGGAGGTTGGTGCAGTTAGCCAGAAAGGGAGATATAGTACCACGGAGCGCGAGGTTGTTAAGTGTGAGCCTGTAGACGCGGCCATTGTTGCAGGTTGCGCCTTTCAGGTTTGCGGTTGAGTCGTTGCAGGGTTTCGCGAAGTTCTCTTCCCTCCAGTCCGGTAACGACTTATTTGGGTCTTGTAACGACTTGCTTAGCTGTGTCAGGCATGCCTCGTCGCTTGGATCTGATAAACAACCTCGAATCGTTATAACCCACAACAGTAACACCACCCTCCCTACATCCATCTATTCCTAAACAACCTCACCACTTCCAATTCTTTTATTCTTTCTTCTTCCTTTCTTTATCTACTATATGTACCAAGGATCTATTTATCCCTTCCCTATGGGTGCAACCGTACCAAAAAACAACAACACGAGAAAGTAAAGAAAGCGAGAGATGTCGGTCTCTGTTGTTGTTTGAATCTCTGTTCTATTCTGTTAGGCCAAAGCCAAAGCGAGTGTGTGTGTGTGTGTGAGAGAGAGAGAGAGAGGTGGCTCTTTGAAAAATGGTCTTCGCTCTTGAAAGTTGAATCCTGTGGCTGGCTAATTGGTTTGTTTTATATTCAATTATTATTTAATTTTAATTTTTTATATTAAACTTACGATTTTCGGTCCTTTATGGGAGAGCTTAGTTGGGGGTGGACGTGGTACGCTTAAAGCACTTTGTAAATGAGTGAGTGTGTGGGGGAAGGAAGAGACTAGAATGTAGACACGAAAGCTCGCGCGTGCGGACGGTGAAACGAGGACTGAAAATGAAAGTTTAGAGGGACGATAGAGTTAGTGAGGGGGCTCGGGTGGGGCCTTTTGGAATTGGAGTTTGTGGGGAGCGATGACCTGCAAATATGAGGCGTAAGACAGCGACAATACGCTAAGGATATTATTGACTTTTTACTCAAACCCCCCATTACCTTTTTCTATTTCTACGGAACCAACTCTATCTCTCAACAAAAAAAAATTCTACGGAACCAACTGATATCGTTGTGCATCTGTGGCTCACTGTCATTAGACCTTCAGTTTTCCTTTCCTCTTTAAAAAAATAATAACAAAATAAAAAGTTATCTTAGTGCTTTCTTTATAGTCTAATTCTATATTACTAAATAAGCTTGGTTTTGGAATTTCGTAATGAATTGTTTTTTATGTGAGAAGTTCGAATCCGTGACGAGGAATAACGCTAGGTTGTTCGGCTTAAGTGGTAATCTGCTCCATCTGCTACTAGTCGTGGATGATATCTGCGACCGTACAATTTGCAGGATTCTTATGATTAGGCCTGCTGATGATCAATCGATGCACTAAACCAATCATAGCAAATTAGCAATGTGTATCTGGCATTTTCCACTCTCTCACTCCCTCATCGGATGAAAAGGGGAAATTACAATATTTATCCCTTTGATTCCATCCAATGAGGAGTGTTCGGGTATGACCACCGAAGGGTGGTGACTGGTGAGTTGCTAATGGATCGATATATTTCAGTAAAATAGCATTCTAGAGGATGATGTGTGTGCACATTTACTATTATTGAAGTATAAGTGGGTAGAAAGTATTTACATGAGGGTCTTGTATCCTGTTGTTGGTTGTGTTACTTATCTGTGTATATTGCTGAGGAGAAAATAAAATCTTTAGTACATAGGTATATCTTTACTTAATCAAAAAAGTTTTTGGGATTTAATAGGAAAAATAAAAAAAATAAGGGTTTAAATGAAAATAATTTCTCCGTTTAAAATAAAGATATATCTAAATGGATAAAATCTTTAGTACATCGAATATAGGTATATCTTTGCTTAATCAAAAAAGTTTTTGAGATTTAATAGGAAAAATAAAAAAATAAGGGTTTAAATGAAAAAATAATTTCTCCATTTAAAAAAAGATATATCTACATGGAACATCCGATGTATTCAAAAAAAAATTCGTTGTTGAGATATGGCCTATTCTTTAGGTCAACAACAGGGAGAAAAAAAGTGAATAAAAATTATTCAACCAAGGTTCCAATAATTCTTTTCAACAAAAGAAACTCGTACCACTGGTGCAGTCACTCAAAATAAACAATGAGGTAGTGTTTGGTTGGAGACTTTTGAAAATTATCTCAGCTAAGTGTAACTGAGTTTCCTATTTCTCCATATTTGGTTGAGGATAACATTCTCTTTAGCCATCATTCCTAGTTGTCCAGCTATTCACAGATAGTGTAAAAATGGAAGAAATTCACTGTTAAACTTGCCCTCTTCCACCATGGTATTGTTGTGAGAATCTGGATATGTCTCTGTTATTGATGTCGGTGTTCCCTTTCTGTCCCAATTATATTTCTCAAGTTGAAGGTACGACATCTTTATCAGCAGAGAACAGAACACCTGCGCAGGAAGGTTCAAATGCTAATTCGTTGGAGGCACCACAAGGTGGTGGTTTCTTTGTTCATGATCAAATGGCAGCTGATTTGGGAGTACATGAATGTTTAAGTGTTGTTCACGTGATAGATTTGCAAGCACAAGATGGTATAGAAGATCTTGTGTGACAGGTTAACGCACAAGATCTTGTGTTCATATCTTAATGTTTTTAGAATGATAGTTTTGTAATTTCATTAAGTTTTCTCATCAATATTTTATCTTCAACCAAACACACGTTCAGAAATTTAATTCAATTTTCCTGGTAAAATTTTGCCCAACCAAACAACTTTTTTAAAATTTTCATATCTAACTTACTTTCCCTGTAGATCCCTAGTATTTACATTTCCCTAGTATTACAAAATTTCTCCTCAACTAAACACTACCTGAAGGTATTCGCAAGTTGGTTTCTTATTGGAAGTGGTGAGTTTTGCTTTTTCATTAAAGTCTAAATGGGTTTAGTGTGTAAGAAGAGTCCAAAAAATCTAAAGTCTATTCAGCTTAGGGCTAGAATATTTTGGAACCTATATATAATCTACACTTATAGTCATCGACCTCTTTAATCCTCACTTTATAGTTGCAAAGACTAAAATAAGGTCATCTTTTTGATAGTGAGAGGGTGCATGCCTACACATCAGCCCTATTCCCCTTAAGACATGGTCTGGAAGATCTACCACTAGCCAGTCTCAAGGAGATTTTCGTGCAGAGGAGAACAATTCGCGAAAAAGATTCAAACGCGAGGAGATATTACACAGATCTGCACGTCAAAAGGCAAATTAGAACAATGATAATCCGTCACATCCAAACCGCAATGGTCTAAACATTTTTGCAGATCCAATTACGCTTACAATTGGTATCAAAGCCAAGTTGCGTGCTTGAATGTGGATCTAGTTTTTGATTTACCATTTTTTTCATGTTATTAGTTTGCTTCATGAAATATGGCATATGTGGTTCTATGTTTATTGGTATGTTTTTTGCGTTTATATCCTTGTAATTCTTTTCATTAAAAATTGATGCTTTCTTGGTGCCATATTGTTACATAACTTGTTAATTATATGAGCTTGATGACTGTTATGTTTGAACGACTAGATTAATAGTCATTATTGCAATTAATTCATATTTCAAAAATTGAATGTAATGGTTGTTGCATTTGATAGGCTAGATTAATGGTTTTTGTGACATTAATTCTAATTTTTGAAATATGTGCATAATGAATTTAATGATTAATGATCGTTATAAAAATTATTTTGATTTCAAATTATCACCATGAATGACAAATATTATGATTCCTAAAATCTAGATTAATAATTAAGTCAATTATTTAGGATAATTTAAATCTAAATAAATAATTAAGAAAATTTTCTTAAGAGAACTGTTGATTTTGCGAGTAAATTGTGGGTCTTCTAAAATAATTATGTGTTAAGCAAACGTTGCATACCACAATTGTAAATCATGATTGTGTGAAACACACGCTATCTATCGTGACCGAATTTTAAAACCTTAATGATTTCAAAATTTTAATAAAGTATTGTGCAGCTCATCGCTCAACAATACTAAGTTATTAAAGACAATTTTGAACTTAAACAATGAATTTTACATTTGACAAAGCTTATGAAAATTCTAAATAAAATATTGAATGAGTTAAGGTTTTAAATTAAGTATTTAATTTTAAAACATGTGGGCTCCATTTGTGTGTCAATTAATAAAATGGCCATGTGAAGCCCCGACGAATAAGAATGGCCGGATTTTATTTGATTGCATCTTAATAATTTCAAAATTTTAGTAAGTTATTGTACAACCCGACATCGGCAAATACTTGGATACTAAAGAAAATTTTGAAATTAAAAAATGGTTAATTATATTCATTTTTGGTAAAGTTATTAACCATCCCCACGAGGTTCTGGTAATGGCACCGAAGGCCCAAATAATAATTTTAACTTTTGCAAGTGACTTGTTTAACGTAAGTCTTGTAAAGAAAACTGAAGTATTGTTAACAATAAACAAAAGTAGTTATAAGAATCTACTTGTACTTAGTTTGTTTATTGCATTACTTGTTTGTAATTGTGTGCCTTGTATGTTTTTTTTTCTTCAGAAAATGACTTCTTCGATCCTTTAGTAATGATTGAGTCAAAAACCTCTTGATGGTACCAACTATGAAGAATGAAAAACAAACTTCAATGTTGTTCTTAAACATGAAAAACTGAATTTTGTCCTGACCATACAAAAGCCACGGCAAACTGTAGAGGATGCACCTGAGGAAACTAAGAGTGGAGTAGAGATGCTTCAGACTCTTGATGACATGTATAATGAATCTAGCAACCCTGCCAGACATAATGCAAGCTTTGCTATGAGTTCTGTTAAATCCAAAAGGGAAAACCCAACGGTGGTAACAAGAATGTAATGACTTGATTATCAGTTGTCAAACCAGTTACTATGAAGAAGCCAAAAGGCAAGTGCAGACTAAAGGAACATTGAAAGAAAAATTGCCCAGAGACGATGAAAAGAACCAGATATGGGTAAGTTAAGGCTTGGTTAGTGAATGAATCAATGATTCAGGAACTACTGATTATTTTTTCTATTCTTTCTAGTAGTTCAAACATGGCATGCCTGTTAGCGGTTGACAAATAAATTTTAAGCTTGAAAATGGGGAACTTGTGCCTGCATTAGTAGCAGGACAAGTTATTTAAAGGACTGTGGTTTTGGGTGGCTGTTTATTTGTTCAAAATTTTAAGAGGAATTCAATTATTGTTAGTTGTTTGTTTAAAACATGATTTAACAAAGAAATTGATTCCTCAGTTTCATTTCGAAGTTCAACTTCGTCTTGTTTATTTTGGTAAATTGTTTATTATGTTGAATTATAAGGATGGTGAAAAGAACATTCATTAAAGAAATAAAATTTTCAAATGAAATATATCTTTGACCTTTGTGATCGAGTCAGATTACCTCAAATAGAAAATATGGTTTAATTAAAAGAGAGACTGAAAGTTCCATAGTCTTTGAACTGAAAGCTACATGTAAGTCCTATTTGGAAAAAAAAATGGTCAAATAATCTTATAAGGTGAAAGTGATTTACGCAACTGTTCAACTATAATTGGTACGTAATTATGTATGTGGTACAATTAGTGTTCAAGCCAG